AGTGATTTAAATGAGAGAGTATAATGTGGAGCAGCAAGTTTCTCAAAAACATATGGCAAGCCAACATTCTTAGGCAGCTATCTCATCTCAGATAACAGAGTTGTTGTCCAGAAGAGCCATCATAAACACACGCAACATGAATATGCCTCTGGACTTCCTCTTCAGCCTTCTGTTCCTTACTTTCTGAACGTCTGCAATACTAAATGCAGCGGTAAAATATAGCAATCTACTTCTGATGAACATTAAGGATTCATTAATAACCTTACAAATAAAGAAAATGTCGAAATATAAAGCAAGCTACAAGCTATAAATCATGTCACATTTCCTGTTCATCTTAAAACAACAAAAGGGAAACACAGACATGTCTTTTTTTTTTTTTTTATTGATAAATATTACAGTCAGACATCAGACGGTATGTTGTAACTTCACTAATTATGTCAGCACCCAAAAGCATTGTGGCTATGGCAACCTGGTGAAATAATAAACACCGCCTCTTCTTCACTTTCTGCCTGCCGACAGTACCGCATGACATGAGTCATCAGCAGCCAGGAACACACACATTGAAACACACAGACAGCCCAAAAAAAAGGAAAAAATAAAAGAAAAACAGTCCCCATACAGGCAAGTCAGAGTAAAAAAATACTCTGAATGAAACGACAGGAAGCAATACACACTTGACAAAAAAAAAAAAAAAATCATAAGGAAATATTACAAGACCCAGCTGCTTCTGCTTGATCGCAGCCACAAACTGAGCTGATTTACAGAGCAGTAATGAGCATCAGCGTGGGTTGTTTGTGCACACAAAAGCAAGCCGCCAATCTCACCTGGATACTATTAGCTGTTGTTTGATTTTTAATATTAACCACATGAGGTGACTGTTAGGCATGCTTTTGCACAAACCAGCACATGCACATTTACAAACACAAAGGCATGGAAACCCACCGCCCCAATTCAAAGCAGAGGCTCGGACGACCGGGAAAATCGTCAGCTCCACCTCTTACCGTCAGCAGCTAATCTACATCACAGGCACACATATACAGTGCTGCAAGCAGTAAACGCAACTTTTTCATCTGCTTTACCTTGAAAAAAAATATTCCCACCCCTAAATGTGTGTCTGATTTTGTCCCAATTAAGTGGAAATCTACACATTTTCACAAACTACAGCATACCTGTGAATTGGACAGAAAAGGATACATGACTTTTAAATTGCCTTCACTGATCAATATCTGAGAACTGTGGGATGCATTTGTGTTCAACCCCTTGAAAAAATAGATTATATGACTACTTTTTTACTGCTACTACAGTTCAACTTTATTTGGATTGCATATTTGCTCCTTTTTAATTGCCAAATTGCTTTTGCTCAGTCAGAGAGTGTCTGCAAACATCAATTAAAAAAAGTACGTCTTTTCCCGATATATTTTAGGTTGGATTTAGTTTTTGGCCATGCTTTGAAACAAACATTATTGCTCTGGTTGTATGCTAAAGGTTGTTATCCTCTGTCCCAGCTGTTAATGTTTTGCAGCCCAGTAAATGTTGTTCGAGGATCACTCAGTATTTATCTCAGGCCATCTTCGCATCAGCTCTGATCTGCTGCCCATCTCTACTAAAAAAAGGAGCATTTCCAGAGCATGATGCTTAAGCTACCATGTCTTACTATGCAGATATAATGTCCATCTAAAACTCAACAGTCCATATGGATATAGGGTGCTGTTATTCCTCACATATTAAGTCTCATCTGACTGGAGCTTTTTCTCCAAATATATGCCTAGTCCCCTTGCCGCAAACAGCAAAAAAAGAATCTAATAGCTTTCTTTCAACAATGGCTCTTTTCTCATCCCTTTACAAAGAATAGTTATCAACATATGATCCCACCTGAACTTTGACTCTTTGCTGCTCCTCCAGAGTAACCATGAGCCTCTCAGCTTCTATCTAATTAATACTCCACTTGCCTGGCCTTTAGGGACGTACTCATTCTTCTGCTCCAGTCCAGAGAATTGTTCAAGTAAGAAAATTCACACTATCAGCTGGCCTGGTTTGTTTTCACACAGAGCTTCTTAGATCCGGTTAAACAATTTCATACACTTACATTGGATTGTTTTTGGGGCAGTAGTGCTACAGAATAGCCCTGATTAAAAAAAAAATGCATGAAGAAGAAAGTCTGTCTTGTAGGGTCTCTGTTTCTACTTTGGTGTTCAAATGTAGTTGTGCGCCTGCATCTCTTACCTCCTAAGGAGCCCCAAAAGATATTTTCAAACTACTTTATCTTTGGATTGAGGCTCTGAAATTTGTTTTTCCTATTTTCCTCATCAGTGCTTTAACATCACATCCCATCCTCCTTGTTACGTTACGCTGAGACAGGAACACATTCATTCAGCAAGCAAACCACTTAAGGATCCAGATCAGTTATATCGTTTTCAGGGTACTTTGGGATCCTTTTTGGGTATTGGATTGAGATGACACTAGGCATGATCCAATTCTTAAGCTGAACTCTGAAAAACCCTAAGCTCATCTGGCCTGGTGCCAGACTAAACAGGCTAAATATGGTCATACTTCCTATTTAGGAAAAAACATGGCCGATTAAATTTTTTTTTTCTCCTGCAAATACTATGAATTTTACAGAACTTTAAATGGGATCTTAGAATTCTTCATTTAGAATCTTATTTTTTTATATTGACACATCTGAGTGGCCACAAGATGAAAACATGTGCTTCTAGAATTAGTTTAGGACTGCCACTAGCAGTTAACTTTAATGTTAGACTGATTCCCAAAAGTTTGGTTTGATCGGCTGATTAAAGCAAGATGATTGCATATCTCTGCTGGAGTAACTGCATCAAACCCAGCTGACCTCTGCCTCATTTTTCTATCTCTTTGAACCGATCGCCTGTGAAGATCATTCATTTAATCCCCTCTGCTGTGATTTGTCCGATACGCCCTCTAATGGGTGGGAAATCTCTAAGTGACCAAGGACAATGATTTTTTGAATATTTCCCATGACTGCAACATTTCCCCTCTCTATTATGTGTACCCTTTGTCTAATGCGATTCAAGCTTGCTAAGTGTTTAATGCTTTTGCCCTCTGGTGTCAACCCTTCACTTAGTAGCACCCCTCCTCAATTCTCTGCCTCATTTCAGCGGTATTTAGCCTTTTTAATGTACAGATCTCCGTGAAAGCATTAGCTCTGCTAACTATGGTACTGTTACTTTACCCAAATCTAAAAAAACAATGCATCAAATTAGTTTAGTCTCAGTTTAAAATGGACACAAAGTGACTAAAGTGGTGCAGCAGCTGAGAAACAGCACAAACTCAAATCAGTTGAGGCAAGAATCATCTCTTAATGTCTTTCAACTGAGCTATCTGTGTGTCTGGAAGTAAAGTGCACGATGAGGAGATAACAGAAAAAGGAGCGCGTCCTATGTGCTTTGGACCATCCTTTGGGCCGAAGCTGATGGCCCGTGCGGTTTAAGCTCAGACGGACAGACAGCTGCTATTAAACCCTGATTGTTTCAGGTTCACAGGGTGTGAAAGGGTCTGATTGAAGGGCTGTGATCCCAGTGAGGGTGGTCCTTCTCCCCCTTACCTCCCTCTCACTCTCTCACTCTGTAGAAGGTGGGAGAAGGACTGTGTAGGGAAAGGGGGTGGGTGGATTCAGGCGTCACATGACTCGCTTCTCGCTGCGCGGACTAAAATGGAATCTTGACAAAAACACACCACTTGTTGCTGCCTGCTTCTGGGTACACCTGTGTCACATGACCAGGGCCCAAGGAGAACATTGAAGGAGTGACTTTATATACACTTTTAACTTTTAGGAATGGTTTGCTTAAAGTTTTACTGAAGTGGAAATAAATACAGGAATAAAATTGCATGATGTGTGAGATGTGATCTCCAACAGGTCAGCAGCCTCCTGTATGGTTTATTTGTTTAAGGGCATTCCCATTAAGGAGGCTTTTTGGCTCAACACACTTGATAAAGACCAGAGAGGGTGAGGAAGCTCCCCTGCAGAGCTTTTCACATGTGGCCAAAGGACAAGTGCACTCTCGTCCATCGAAAGCTCCCACATCTAAACCTTAAAAGGAGTCTTAGTGATTGGCTGGGATGGGAAAACGATCCGAAACTATCGCAACATGAAAACTTCAGTACTGCAAACAAATGCTCAACCACACGCAATGCAGCTAAATCATTTAATATCTTGCAAATCCGTTCAGGAGTCTTCCTTTATTGCAGTCTACAAAGGTATGTGTGAGTGGAGAAGATTCAGACTGTGTGTGCTCAGCACTTCTCACTGTCACTTCGGAAATAAATAAGTGTTTGGCCTCCCCATTGAGGCCAGTGTTGACGCTCTTCAGTGCAGGGCCACTAAAATGAGGAGCAGTGGCCTAATCTTCCCACATTAACAGCTACAGTCCACTCTTAGACAGATAATTAGATTAGAGACCATCTTCTACCTCAGATTAGAGATGGATCATGAAAGGTTCAATTCATTAGAAGCACCTCAAGTGCACATATAAGAAAACCTGAAAGTTTATGTATTCAAATTCTACGACTTGCAAAAAGACAATATATATAGTATAGCAGCAAAAAATGGCACAAAATGTATTGCAAATTTCAAGAAACAGTTGTTCTCTGGTGGCCCTAAAACTTTCCTGGGGCCCCAAAGGAAGCAGTTTTAATGAGTCAGGGATAAAAACAGATTATACTCTCATATTTAAACAAATATTTTATCTTTTAAACTACAAGCTGCCATGCAGTTCAACTGATTAAAACCACAAACCCCACAAAAACATAACATGCAGTCATTCAAAATAAACTTAAATGGGATATTGGAGCTTTGGGATAGGAAGCAATCACTGCAAAAGATTTCAATAAAACTTAAAAGACACAACTTAAAGTTTTATCTGATTGCAACAGATTCAGCAAAGAGTTTTAGGCTGCGCAAAAAACAAGTAATTCATTGAATGATCGGCAGCGATTTAAAAGGAAGACAGTAAATCAGATCTTCTTACCTTAGAGGAGAAATATTAAGCATGAAACTCCCTGATTGGATTCCTTGGAATCGCTCAAAGGATCTAAGGACTGAAAGTTTCCGTCTCTCTCTCTCTCTCTCTCTCTCTTCTTTCTTTCTCTTAACTTTTCTAGCAGGGAGTCGGATGGGGATGAGGGAATTCTTCAGAGAAACCGACACATTGTTCCACCTTCAGCAGGGATCTCTCACACATTTTAATTCTTAAGTGTCTTTAGGCAGGCGGTGGTCAAACTGCAGCCCATGTTCGCCTCTGGAGTCCCGCAAAGCGCCTTGGATTTGGCTGCACAGTCAATGCAGGAACGCGCACCCCCTTCTCCCCCCTCCTTCCCTATCCTCCCTCCCTTTCTCCACAGCCTGCGGACCACCCCGAAACAGGAAGTTCACTTTTTGTTTTTCTTAAAAAAAAAAAAAAGAAAAGAAAAAAAGAACCAAACCGCCTCGGTTTTATCTTCAAACTTAACATGCAGCCCAGAAACAACCAAACTGAAGCCCGGTTAGTTTTCCTCTCTGTTCTCTCAGTAAATAAACGCAAATTCCTTTAAAGTCATATAATCAGCTATATAAAGGCATTACAGCCTCCAAGTGTTTATCAAATGCTTGCAAGGACACGGCTGCTCTATATAAAGTAGGTTCTTATCTAGTAATTGTGAAAACCCTGTCTATAAATGTTTGTGTTTACTTTAACAGTGGAAGTTCATAGCAGCCCATCGGGCAGCGTGTGTGGCTGCTGGCTGCGGGGATGATGATGATGATGCTGCTGCCGCACATTGCTGCGCCTCAACCAGGCAGACCCTCCGCAAAACCTGGACTGGAATCCAGTCCGCAGCCCCGGAGCTGGAGCCGGACAGGCGCAACCTCAAAACTCTGATAAGATAGTTGTTTTCATCAAAATAAAGCGCAGTTCCAGGGGCGGAGATAGATGGAGGGGCCAGGAAAATTTGAAGTAAAATTATTATTCAATTAGGTTTAATTAAAATTATATGTCTTATTAGGTCAATATGCATTCATATCATTTGCCACCCCTACCATTTCTCCCCCCAAATAATCAAGTGGAATATTCAAAACATTTAAATTTCTTCATACATTTATTTATTTATTTTATAACATACTTTAATAATCCCAGAGGGAAATTAATTCTCTGCAATTAACCCATCCCCTTAGGGAGCAGTGGCAGGGTTTCTGCGGGTCATTAAAAATCATAAAAAGTCATTAAATTATTATTTTTTTTAATTAAGGCCTTAATTGGCATTAAAATTCATTAAATTTGATAATCGTGGCATCTGTCGGAGTGGAGGATCGAACTCACAACCTGAGGATTCAAAGCCCTCTGCCCTAACTACTATCATAATTACTTGATAACAACAACACTGTGGTTAATTATGCAATCAATACACTAACATTAAAGATGATAAGTACAGAATTCCTGCTGTTTTCAGAACTAGATTTTGAGTTTTATGGGGTAAAGAGAAAATCGTGTGTCTCTGCATTCATCTAAGAGTCTTTAGTGAAATCATAGATGAATAACTATTTTAATAAAAACATATTAAATAATCAATTTATGTAGATAATAGTACTTGTAAATATCAATTTAATGCAGAATAATATTGATAAAAGTAGGTAAGTAATGACAGTGGAAAAGATGTTCGCCCCAGAACTCAAACCTGAAAGAATTTTATCCACCTGGATGTTTAAATATATTTGTCTATTTGTTAGCAAAGGCTGTAGGAAAGTGTAGTTTGTCTTTATTTAGAAAATATGGATGTTTTGCTTGTTAATTTTCCTGTTGGAACAGTGTAGATTGCCCCTGAGGTTCTGGTGCCTATCCATTTTCGTACACCCCTCAGTGGTCGCAGTTAATTGCCTGGCCACCCCTTATAAAAATTTTCTGGTTACGCCTCTGTGCAGTTCTAAGAATATTACGGAAGCGGATTAGGGCCACTGAAAAAATAATAAAAAAAGTTAAATTATTTTTAAATTTTATTTCAGTTTAATATGGGAAAAAAGTCAGAATTCTGACTTTAATCTCAGAATTCTGACCAGTGGCGGTTCTAAACCAAATGTACCATGGGGCCAGGAGGGGGCCGGCATGTTTTCATGGGGGCACAGAAAAGCATGAAATAAAAAACAGGTTAGGTGATTCAAATATATTAAGACAGCTGCATGAAGTGAAATTTCTATTCAATAAGGTTTAATTAAAATTATATGTCTTATTAGGTCAATATGTATTCATAATTTTATAATAATATGTTATAATTTTACATATTTTTTGACTTAATTTAAAAATTAGAATTATGTTTTGTATAAAATCTGAATTAGAACTCAAGAAAAAATGTTAAATTCAGCTGTAAAAATTTTAGTATTTTATTTCTTTTGGAAATAAAATTTAGCAGATGAAAACTAGGATCCTATCTCAATACCACTGAGCTATCACATTATTGTTTTTTAATCATTAGTAAAACAGAATTTTTAAAGAAAAAACATGAAACAGATACAAAGGACCTGTCAGTAACCATGTCTGTTCCAGTGTATATAATCATTAGAATTTCTTTGAGTATTATGTCTTCAGTAAAGGGCCGTAACAGGGGCCAGGACATGACCTATACAGGGGCACTGGCTCCTGTCTAGAACCACCCATGATTGAGACTTTTTTCTCAAAAAGTCAGAATTCTGAGATTAAAGTCAGAGTTATGAGATTAAAGTCAAATTTTTTATACTAAAATAAAATTAAAAAATCTGTTAACTTTTTTTTTTTCCAGCGGCCCTAATCCTTTTCCGTAGAATATCGACCAAAAACCAACAACTTAATTATTCCAGGAAATGTTGGCTTCTTCCCGTTCATATTTTATAAAGACATCATCTCGAAAAGAGAAACAAGTAATTATGCATTTTAGATAAAGATGTAGAAGAATTTTAATTAAAGAAAAAAAAAACAGTTTGCAATTTTGTATACGACTGTAAAACATTGCATCCTCTAAAAATACTTATTTGTCTCTTTTTTAATTTAGAAAAGAGAAAAATAAAAAAATTTTATTCAAGAAATTAGTTTTATGACAAAAAAAAGATTTTTTTCATTATCTGTATTGAACTTTGCTATTACCTTATCCTATTGAATTGTGCTGTTATGTATGAAGAGCATGTTATGTAATTAAACATATAGACTATTTATTGATTTATCTGATTTTCCATTTGAGAATTATTGACTTTTTAGATTAATTGAAAGTGGACAAAAATAGCCACACAGCACTTATATATACAAACATTTCAATATTGTGAAATGTAACCATACATATGCTTAAATATTTTGCACATAAATAATGATATATTTTATATAGTTTTTGCATATTTTAATAAAAAAAAAGGTTTGTGGATATTGACATCTCTTAAAAGTAGGAGAAAAGTGGCACAAAAGGCTTTTGCAATAGTAAAAAATAAATAAATGAAAAAAATAGGAAGGCTGTACTTGATCAGTTTAGGAAAGGTGTATGAATAACTCATGCTTTATACGCATGTTGTGGTATGCTTCCTGTAGCCTATATTTGCTGTCTTTGCTGCATAAACACCCATGGAATAATAATGTTTTCAACAGAGTTGGTTGTTTAACATATCATGCAAAAACGTATCATCTATCTGAGCAAGATAAAAATGCTGAGTATGCAAAGTGTTTTTCATTCAGAATCCAAACTCATCGCTACAGAACCAACAATGAGTGTTAACTGCACATTAGTGAATAACTACATTCATGAGGAGGTTTAGTTTTCAAAGCAGCCGGGAAAGCTGAGTCAAAGCCTGAACAGTTGGTGACCTGAGCCAAGGCTAGAGTCCATTCACAGCATACGGCCAGTGGTTAAATCAGATTTTGTCAATGAGAGTCGTGGTGGGCTTTGAGCCCGATATAGCTGCAGCAGCCAAGCAGGGAAGCCTTGGCTGTAAACCCTCACAGATGCTGCAGCCATATGTTTCATCCAACAGCGGGAAGAATCTCACACCAACTTCCCTTCAGATTATCGATAAGCGGGATTATCGCCAAATTCTGAAGAGTGCCATAATGGCTAAAGCTTTTTTCAGCTGATCTTTAAGGAATATTCTAATCAAATTTAATTTTTGTTCATGTAGTTGATTTGGAAGAGATTGATTTCAGTCCAAAGTTGATTTTGATGACAGAAGCTGCCGCATTGTTCTGTTAATCTGAGGGTATTTTCAAAACAGTCCATAGAGACAGGTATTCAAGCTTTTGCCATATACCACACTGTTAAACATAGAGAAGATTCAGTATCATGTAATATTTTTTTCTACTATAATGAAGCTCAATCTTTTCCCATCAGCAATTAACTGAATGATCCCCTAAAAAGTCAAACACAGGCTTGGTAGGGCGTGCAAATCTCAATTAGTTTTATAATCAGCAGTGTGTGACTCAGGCACACATAAACTGTTTTCTTAATGAAGCAAGGGGAGAAAAGGTGAATGGGACAGAAATAAAAAAGTTGCAGATGTCCACTTCTAAAAGCCGGTAGAGGGCTTAAAGTAACATACAGATTAACAGCAAGGTAAGCCAAAGCAAAAGCTTTCAGTCATGCCGTCGAGGTCAAGAAAGGACTGAAAGCTGCAGGCAGGATGCTGTCTTACCTTTTGTAGCTGCTTATGCCTAAAATATGTTTTATGGTGTGTTATCCAATGATTATACAGTCTATTTATTCACAAAAACGTCTTCAAGTCTTGACATGCCAACAGGTTTATTATAACAGCATATCCACACCTTACAACTAAAGGAACTTTTCAAACATTTCATATCCACTAAAATGACAAAAGGTAAAACACACACAAGGTGATAAATCCAAAGCCATGAAAATCTACAGAGGATCATGCATGTAAGGCAAGTGTGAGTGGAAGAGAAAGCAGCTGTCATCAAGGCTCAGGGCATCTGGACACCATTCCCTGGTGCAGTGAAATCCAGCAAATCTTTTACAGGATTTGTTTTTCCATTGCAGATGGTCCCTTAGCATGTTTTCCTCCCATTGGCTCGGGGTCCCTTGCTGGCAGTGCTGCAGCTTTGCAGGTACCACATTTAAGGGTGTTCTCTGTCTGCTGCAAGTCCCTGCAAACTGACAGGAGGGACCTGGAGTTAAAGATCACATGAGCAGCGTTGGATAACAAAGTTTTGTCACAGTAAGGTGCAAAGGTAAGTGCTGCATAGAGACTTTATTTTGGAATTAGATTTAAATTGATTGCATCAATTGTTGCAATATCTGCATCAATGCTTAAAGCCCAGACATCAACAAGGAAATCATGGCTATTTTGCAAAATTATGATTTAAAAATTCTTTTGAAATGATAGATAACATTCCGTCATATGAGAACTAAAAGAGCACCAGAATAAACACGTGTATCTGTATTTTGCATACATAAATATCAGGAAAGTGTTTAGAACAAAATATGTGTACTCAATGCCTGTGGAAAATAATAGAAACTATTCTTTTGTTTCCTGTTTTTATGTCATGCATCAAGATATTTCATTATCATAACCTAAAAAGTAGGCAGGCATAATTGTAATTATGAAGAATGTAGTTTCTCTGTCTGATAAAGTTATACACAACTTGCACAAAAATAACAGCTAGTTGAGGACTATAACTCTCCCTGCTATAATTTAAATCAAAATTATGTATAGATAATATTTCATAATTTGCTTTGTGCTCTTTTAAAACTCATAGTTATAAACAAATACAGATCTATATTTACAGGGTGAGTAACTTTCTCAGAGTTGAAGGTATTTTTCCTCCAAAGGAGCTTTTTTTCCTTATCTTTGATTTAAAAGACTGATATTTTACTAAACTTCATCTGAACATGAGTTAAAAAATTATTTGATTTAAGTAGATTTTAAACAAAATTCTTTTGTCTTGATTACTATCATACTGTGCTTTTCCCATATATAGGCAAGAAGCTGATTTAGGGTCCTCATCGCTAGAGGGCAGCATTGTCAAGCTGACAAGCAGGACAATTAAACACCTAATATGTTATAACTTTCAGAGATATTAGCACCCCTTTTGTCAGATTGTTGTAATATAAAAAGATATATTATTTACTTATTTCACTGAAATTTTGGGAAAATGCTTTTTGCAAACTGAAATAAAATAATTGCACATCTCTTAACAAATACTGTTTTATGTACTCTTTGATCTAATTTCCACTTTCTGTGGGGGCGTACCTGATATTAATCATAGCAAATCTGTTCAATTAGAGCTAAATTTCATAATTATTTGTATGAGTTTTCTGCAGTTTGCTCATTTACATCTACATTTGATGGCATTTATTATAATGAAGACCTCACTCCTCACCTTGCATTCAGTAATCTTGAGCTGGGATGTCCAACCATGCCAACATGGAACTTGGTAATGGTGCTTTCAATGAGATTATGTTTCTTGGAAGGATAGACCTAGGTTTTAGTGAGGTAACTGAAATTATAAAAGGTTCCAAATTGTATTTAAGTGTGACTCAAAGCATCTGGTAGAAGGGCTGTGTGGTTTGCAGCACTGGTGCCTTGCAGCAAGAAGGTTTTGAGCTTAAATCCTGGTCTAAGATCTTCCTTCTTGTCACATTCTCTAGGTGCATGATTGGGTTATCTCTAGGTTTTCTGGCTCCCCCAGAAATATGGCTGTTAGATTGATTGGTTATTCTAAATTGCTCTTAGGTGTGTGGATGTGTGATTGGGGTAAACATGGTTGTGTTACCCTCCAACAGACCAACGGCACGTCAAGAATTTACTCAGCATTTTGCCTAAATACTGCAGCAGGTAGATAACACCCCCTATGACTATGGATGGATGGATGGATGGATGGATGGATGGATGGATGGATGGATGGATGGATGGATGGATGGATGGATGGATGGATGGATGGATGGATGGATGGATGGATGGATGGATGGATGGATGGATGGATGGATGGTAAAGTCCGAATACATATGTATGTGAATGATTGTGGCACATGTTAACTGATTTGTATTTAAGAAGATTATCTCTTGCTTTTTTATTTAAATATCCTTCAACCAAATATTAGTTTAATGACACCCATGCTAATCCTACCAGATTATTGCAGCTATTTTCTCCATGTAGATTTGTTTGTTATAAGTTGTATTTTGCAATATATGAGTTATATTCGGTTTTGGGAAAATCTAAAAGAGATTTTTATGTTATTATTTTTACACCACCATGGTAATCTAAGAGTGCATAAAACAGTATTTGTTTCAACAGACATACACTATAAATAATAGCAAAATATACTACTGAGATCTCTGGGTATGTGTTACCTTACCATTTTTCACAGTTTGTTATATTCTTTGCAATTTTCTATTATTTATTAGAAAATATTTGGTTGTTTTCCTTTACCTGTTATTTCTTCCGACATGGAGATTAGCCCCACCATTTTCTGTGGGATGCTTAAACTGAATACATTTATAGCAAAACCTTTTTTCACTTATTCGTCTCTGGTCTTTATGATTTCCTTGTGATTGTTGCAGAGCCTCTGTCATGCAGGCAGGTCATACAGCAGACACTATGGTATGAAGGAGCAGCTAAAAGACCTAGGCTCCTTTTTTCACATCAGGCAGGTATGAAATCAAGTATTACATACAAATACACAATATATTCTTCATTGACTTAGAATGCAATAATGTTTTTTTTTCTTTGTTCTCCAAAACAGCCTTGGCTCTGACCATATAAAAGAAAATGAATCTTACCTGAAAGATCCTTAATGCTCCACTAGGGGGCCCCACAGTAGCTGGTAGAGGGGCTCCACGATGAGAAGGTTGAAGGCTGGATGGAGATTTTCTGTTCAAGGTTTGTCTCCTTTTCCTGCTCCTTTTGTCTTATTTTCATTTGTTTAATTTCACAGGAATTTGGTTTATCTTTCTTGATTCCACTGTTTCTATTCGGTTTGTCATAATTTTACTCAGGTGCAGTTCTTACATAATTATATCATTTATAATAAGACATAATAAATTAAATGAACACAATAATTCATTTTACTTTATATAACTCATATGTAACCTTAACAAACATACTTATAATTTAATTTAGCCTTTTTGTTCTTAAAAGCATAAAGTGTTATGAGATACTGACATTCATCACCCTGATTGGATGGATTCTGTTAAGTTGCCTTTGACAGAATTAGGTCCACACCGGACATTGAGTGGGGTAAGACCTGTTAAGATGGAGGTGAAGCAAGAACAGTGGCATTAATTCCTTTAGCTGTGTTGATGTAATGTTTTTCTGGATCATGGACTGCGTAAATCTGGCTTCCCATGTCCTCATGGAAAACTTTTGATTTTCTGCTTTTCAGTATATCATTAGGGTATTAAACATATAGAGATTGGTTATCTCTGAAGCTTTTCTTATAGGTCAAAGCACCTGGGACCAAATATGTATTATATATATATATATATATATATATATATATATATATATATATATATATATATATATATATATATATATATATATATATATATATATATATATATGAAGATTAATTTAAAACACGCACGTGTTTTGGTAAGTTCTCCAGCTGCATTAAATTGCCTTGTGTCAGAGTAAAAGATAGCTTTAATCCTTAAATAAAGGTTCTTACAGCTATAATGAATTGACAGTTTGAACTGACATAACAGCTAAAACATTGTGTCTGAAATTTAAACATAAACTTAATAAAAAAAGAAGACATAAATCCTTCCTGTAATGACAAACATATACTCTTTTTCTAAAAAAAAAAAAATGCTTCCTTTTATGTCTGTAGCTATAGTTTTCAGCAGCAGAATAGCAGTTTAAAGTCATATTAAATAAACACCTAATCACTGGAAGATCGACAAAGCTCAAAACAGAACTTTATTAATTCAAAAATAACATTTCCACTGTGAAATAAGATAGAAGTTTCTTTCCTTTTGTCATTTGTAGAAGTATATTGCTAATCTTATAAATAGAATTGAAAAGGATCAATGCCATGTCGAATGTACAGTCGTATTCATTAAATTAGAATATTATTGGGAAACTTATTTATTTCAGTAACATACACTCACTGGCCACTTTATTAGGTACCCCATGCTAGTAACGGGTTGGACCCCCTTTTGCCTTCAGAACTGCCTCAATTCTTGGTGGCATAGATTCAACAAGGTGCTGGAAGCATTCCTCAGGGAGTTTGGTCCATATTGACATGATGGCATCACACAGTTGCCGCAGATTTGTCGGCTGCACATCCATGATGCGAATCTCCCGTTCCACCACATCCCAAAGATGCTCTATTGGATTGAGATCTGGTGACTGTGGAGGCCATTTGAGTACAGTGAACTCATTGTCATGTTCAAGAAACCAGTCTGAGATGATTCCAGCTTTATGACATGGCGCATTATCCTGCTGAAAGTAGCCATCAGAAGTTGGGTACATTGTGGTCATAAAGGGATGGACATGGTCAGCAACAGTACTCAGGTAGGCTGTGGCATTGCAACGATGCTCAATTGGTACCAAGGGGCCCAAAGAGTGCCAAGAAAATATTCCCCACACCATGACACCACCACCACCAGCCTGAACCGTTGATACAAGGCAGGATGGATCCATCCTTTCATGTTGTAGACGCCAAATTCTGACCCTACCATCCGAATGTCGCAGCAGAAATCGAGACTCATCAGACTAGGCAACATTTTTCCAATCTTCTATTGTCCAATTTCAATGAGCTTGTGCAAATTGTAGCCTCAGTTTCCTGTTCTTAGCTGAAAGGAGTGGCACCCGGTGTGGTCTTCTGCTGCTGTAGCCCATCTGCCTCAAAGTTCGACGTACTGTGCGTTCAGAGATGCTCTTCTGCCCACCTTGGTTGTAACGGGTGGTTATTTGAGTCACTGTTGCCCTTCTATCAGCTCGAACCAGTCTGGCCATTCTCCTCTGACCTCTGGCATCAACAAGGCATTTCCGCCCACAGAACTGCCGCTCACTGGATGTTTTTTCTTTTTCGGACCATTCTCTGTAAACCCTAGAGATGGTTGTGCGTGAAAATCCCAGTAGATCAGCAGTTTCTGAAACACTCAGACCAGCCCTTCTGGCACCAACAATCATGCCACGTTCAAAGTCACTCAAATCACCTTTCTTCCCCATACTGATGCTCGGTTTGAACTGCAGGAGATTGTCTTGACCATGTCTACATGCCTAAATGCACTGAGTTGCCGCCATGTGATTGGCTGCTTAGAAATTAAGTGTTAACGAGCAGTTGGACAGGTGTACCTAATAAAGTGGCCGATGAGTGTAATTCACATAGTATAGATGTCTTCGGGCTCCATTTCTGTTACTTATGGGGATTTCTACTTAAAGCGAATAAAAACCTGACGTTTAGAATATAATTTTATATTACATCAAGAAAGAAATATGTTTTAATACAAAAATGTGGCCTATGTAAAATATGTTTATGTATGCTTACTGACAGAAAGTCAAATAAGTGTTTACTCCTTTACATAAAATTAGTAATTAGAATATATTTATGGGAAAAACAAATGAAGCTTATGCGAAAATTCAAATCCGTACGACTCTTATCATCATAGACTCTTATCGTCACTCGTCCAGCTTCAGCCAATCATCCCGGGACCCCATCTCCTCCGAAGCCCACTATCTTTCAAGACCCTCTTCATTTAGCTCCTGGCCAAGCTTCTCTCTCCCGTACGGAAGAAAACTTTCACGCACCTCCACCCCATCTCCTCCCTCACTCTCAGACTAATCCCAGTCCCACTCACCCTAGAGCTTATTCCACCACCAGGGGAAGACTACTCTAACTCTTTTTCTCGGTTACTCATTTAAGTGAATGTTGGTTCACAGCATCAAAGTGTTTTGCTGGGGCCTGAGTGCCAAATAACTTATTTCATTTATGTCACTCTCTGCTTATCTGCTTCTATCTTCTTGAACCCCAGTCGGCCTCGACAGATGGCTGCTCACACAGAGCCTGGTTCTGCTGGAGGTTTCTTCCTGTTAATAGGGAGTTTTCCTCTCCACTCTCGCTACATGCATGCAACCAGCTTATTTTCCTTTGATAGAAAAAAAAAATTGACCAATCTCCTGTGTTACCTGTATCATTACATTAAATTGAATAAGACGTTTCTAATTGCAGCTTTTCTCTGTGTGAGTCTTTCCAGGTTGAGTTGCTGAGTATCTGACTGATAAATTATCCAGTCGATTTACGCTCGTCAAAGTTGAAGGGATTCACCTCTAGGAACTGAAAGGCCTACAGTAGTATCCATTCAACATTTCCTTGGCTGGTCCCCTACAATTCCTTTTTAAACATCAATATTTGTACTAAAATATTCTTTCTGTCATGATTTGTGGACATTAAGATTTAAAGATAAGCATCATCTCGTGGTCAGACCCCGTGATTCAGCGAAAGGGTGGAGTCAGAATAGAAAAATGTTCAAGAAGGGGTAACTCCAGTGGCTGGAAGTTGGAGGGAAGTGGGCTGCCATTCGCGGGCGATTGACTGGGAAGGGTCATTTTGAATGGCTACTACAGTATCTGTATATAACAATTGGGTAGAAATGCATTATCGAGGCCTTTAAAATGTTTAAAAAAGGACAACAGAAGAAAAAGAGTGGTTAGCAATCTTTCAGTGGCTCGAAAAACCACCTGGTATGCATGCATGTGGTACAGGTTGCTAATGCAAGAAACTAGAAAAGGAACATTTTATAGTGCCCAAAGTAATTCAAGGTTCATGGCATAGCACCCGACTCATTTCTTTGTTTATTTCACAATGTAGGTTTGGTTGCATATATTTTCTGGAGAGAGTGTTCTTACTTATCAACAATAGCTTGAGCATTTTCTTTGGATGACAGAATGGTTCAAATGCTACTGATTAAAGAAAAAAAAAACAGTAATACAATGGTATTTGAAGCAAGTTTACCATTACCTTCTGTAAAGGGGAGAATTTGTGTCTCCCTCTTTCTTCTCGTACCTCAGTTCTGCTGAAGAGAGTTTTTCCTCACAACTGTTGCTTCATTTCGTGCTTTGTGTGAGGAATTGCTGCAAAGTCAACGACATATGCAAGCTAACACTATCTACTGTCACTACATGCTCATCCAAGAGAAGCGAGTCCTGCAAAGACTCACTGTAATCTGCAGTGAGTTGTTTGAATCATTCACATGGGTCAGGAAAGGATGCATTCTAAATCACTGCTAAACAAAAATGAACTGAATTGAATTATTTATTTCCAGACAGAAAAACAACCTGTTGCATAAATTCTAACTCTCTCTTACCCACTCACTTTGCAATGACGGTGCAGTTTGATTTTTGCAGATACGCAAAGGTTGGCAATAACTATAACATTTTAAAATAAGAGTTTTCTGCATTAGATTAACCTATTTTTCTTAGTAAAAGAAGATTGCATTACCATTGTTACTTCTTTCAGCCTTATTGAGAATGGACAGTATAAGGCAGCAAGCTAATTCAGTTTTTTACATTCTAAAACCCCACCATGTTGCTACTTGCACTGTGTTTACTGAAGAAATACTCCCGTAGGCAGATCTATTTTCAGAATTTATAGCTAACTTCACCTGTAATTATGAAATTGCATTATTCCCTCAAGCAAACATGCTCTTATCCATCTGTCAACATCAGTGCACCATCAGTTTTACTACCCTCATCATTTTAATTTTATCTCAGGTCTTGGGGGATGAGGGAGAAAACATCCCGCTCCTTAGTGACTCTGACTAACTCTGGGGTGTCCCTTGGCAGAAAGGGAATCCGATATCTCCAGCCTGTCCATGGGCTGCCTTTGGTTCACTTCTAAGGATTTTTTATTTAATGCATGCCCATTTACAATC